TAGATTTGGGGGCAGCAGCCCATTGATTTGGGGGGGGCAGCAGCCCATTGATTTGGGGAGGGGGGCAGCAGCCTATAGATTTTGGGGGCAGCAGCCTATAGATATATAGAAATGAACAGGAAGGGTCAGCAAGGAGCTGGAAGGTAAAGCAGCACAAAGGTAAAGTAGAAGGAGCAGAAGGGGTCAGAAATGAGCTGGAAGGGGCAGAAGGAGCACAAACATAAAGTAGGAGAATGAGCAGGAAGGGCCTGCAAGGAGCAGGAAGGAGCAGAAAGGGTCAGAAATGAGCTGCAAGGGGCAGAAGGAGCACAGACATAAAGTAGGAGAATGAGCAGGAAGGGCCTGCAAGGAGCAGGAAGGAGCACAAAGGGATAGCAAGGAGCCCAAAGGTAAAGGAGCAGAAAGAATCAGGAGGACCACAAAGGTAAAGTAGGAGAAAGAGCAGAAAGGGACAGCAAGGAGCACAAAGGTAAAGTAGAAAAGGGAGCAGAAAGGGTCTGCAAGGAGCAGAAAAGGATCAGAATGAGAAAGGAGCAGAAGGGCGCAAAATAAGCAGAAAGGTAAAAGAGCAGAAGGGGCCAAGGATAGAAAACAGTGTCAGAAGAAAAAAAAAGACTGTCAAATGAAGGAGAGGAAAAGGAGATTGGAGCTGGAGGAAGCCTTTGGGGTTAAACCATTTGAGAGCGATTTAACCCCTTAAAGGAAAGCAAGCACCCAGGGGCTTCCTGGCATCATAGCATTTTCATTTAGGTGAAGTTGTTATGGTGACCAGAAATGTCCTTTAATTTGCTTAAAGGAACACTATAGTGACAGGAATACAAACCTATATTCCTGACACCATAGTTGTGAATACGCTATTCACCCTGGCTTTATGTGATAATGGCTATGACCCTTCCCTTTCATGACACTGTCAAAAAGGTACCAAGCATGGATGTCATTACAATTATGCCCCCCCCCTGGAAAAATTCCTGCGGACGCCCATGGTAGGGGCCCCATCTATGTAATTCCTCCTTTGCTTTTTTTAGTATTGGGAGGTACTTGTGGGTGTATAAATCCCCCGGGTTAGGTGTGAGCCAGATCCCTAGATATTTCATGCGGTGGTCACACCAGCGATATGGTTGTTGTCTCTGAATCATTTGCTTGAGTGTGATGCTAATATTTAGGTTCAGTATCTCCAATTTTGTGTAGTTGATTCGGAGGTTCGAGATGCGGCCATATCTGTCGAATTCTGTCTGTATCGCTCGCAGCGAGTTTTCAGTGTCTGTGACTACGAACAGCATGTCATCCGCATATGCCAGAGTTTTGTGGTGTGTGTTTCCGACTGTCAGTCCCCGGACGTCCGCGTTTTGTCTGATCCTGCTTAGAAAGGGCTCCAGCGTCAGCGCAAAGAGTATGGGTGACAGCGGGCAGCCCTGTCTGGTTCCGTTGTGGATCTTAAACGGGTCTGTTAGCGCACCATTGATCCGGATTCGCGCTGTTGGTGTAGAGCGTCTGTACCCAAGCCATGTAGTGTGGGCCGATGCCAAGGGAGCGGAGTGTTTCAAACATCAGGTCCCAGTCCACCCTATCAAACGCTTTCTCTGCGTCCGTGGACAGGAGCAGGACTGGGGCTTTCTGCTCTCTCGCGTGCGCTATGAGGTTTAGGGCTCTTATGGTGTTGTCTCTCACCTCCCTGCCTGGAATGAAACCCGTTTGATCTGGGTGGATTGCCGCCAGTAAGCTTGCCAGAAGTTTGAGGTCCGTGTTCAGTACAGAGATCAGTCGATAGCTTGGGCATAGTGTCCGGTCTTTGTCCTCCTTTGGAAGAAGGGTGATGTTCGCCGAGGTGAATTGGGCCGATGGTGTGGCTCCGTCCTGGATAGAGTTCAGGGCTTTCAATAGTTTCGGTAGTAGGTCATTTGCGAAGGTTTTGTAATATTGAAGGGGCATGCCATCTGGCCCCCGGTGCTTTGCCCGTGTTTGCTTTTTTGATGGCGTGCGCCAATTCCTTGGGCGTTATGGGGGCCTCTAGTGCTTCTTGGTCCACCTTCTCTATTCCCGGTACATTTGCCGTGTCCAGGTATCTGCGGATGTCCTCCACTTTATGGGATCTCTGTGTTTCCGGAGTGGCTTGGTGGAGGCAATATAGGTCCTGGTAGTAGTCGTCGAACGCTGTCGAGATCTGATCCGGTAGGTGCCTGAGTTGTTGGTGTGCGTCTTTGATTTTCGGGATATATAGTTGGTTACGGCGTTGCTTCAGGAGATTCGCTAGTAGTCTCCCGCATTTGTCCCCGTGTTCATGGATCATATGTTTGTAGTGTTGGTATGAGCGTTGGATTGCGCGGTTCAGGTGTGTGGTAAGTTGGTTCCGTTTGGTCATGAGTTCTTCGTATACCTTCGTGTCCAAGGTGCGTTTGTGTCTAGCCTCTCATACCTCGATTTCTTTGCTGAGTCCTAGGATCGTCTGCACCGTCCTCTTCTTGCGGGTCGCGCATATTGCGATGAGTCTGCCTCGAATGATCGTTTTGTGCGCTTCCCAGCATGTCAGTGGGGTTACATCGTCTGTCTCGTTGTCTGTGAAGTAGTCCTGTATGTGGTGACTGATCTGGTCTACGACCGTGATGTCTGAGAGAATCGATTCGTTCAGTCGCCATGACATTTGTCTGGGTTTGTATAGTGGTGACAAAATCTGTATGCGAATTGGGCAGTGATCTGACCATGCCAATGGTTCTACAAATATATTTATATAATATTTTACATAATTAAGTCATTTTATTAATTACAATTTGAGGGACCTGCCTGACAACCCAGGCAGAAAGTCCAGAGAATTTGGTTCGCAAGCCCTTTATTTAACCCTGTAACTTTCCAAGACACAATAAAACCTGTACATGGGGAGTACTGTTTTACTCGGGAGACTTCGCTGGGCACAAATATTAGTGTTTCAAAACAGTAAAACGTATCATAACAATGATATCGTCATTGAAAGCGCAGTTTTTTTGCTGTGATACATTTTACTGTTTTGAAACACTAATATTTGTGTTCCGCGGAGTCTTGCAAGTAAAACCAAACCCCCCAAATATAAGGCTTGCATGTCCTTTTTCACATTGAAATTTGCCAGATTGGTAATGTTGCCTTTGAGACTGTATGGTAGCCCAGGAATGAGAATTACCCATATGATGTCATACTATATGCAAAAGTAGACAACCCAAGGTATTGCAAATGGGGCATGTCCAATATTTTTTAGTAGCCACTTAGTCACAAACACTGGCCAAAATTAGCGTTCAAGTTTGTTTTTTGCGCTTTTCACACACAAACAAATATGAACGCTAACTTTGGCCAGTGTTTGTGACTAAGTGGCTACTAAAAAAGACTGGACATACCCCATATTGAATACCCCGGGTTGTCGACTTTAAAAAATCATGTACATGTAAGGTGTGATTCAGAGATTTATGACAGATAACAGTGCTACAATGCCATTATTGATAATGTCCTACTTGTACTTATAGCCCTATAACTTGCAAAAAAAAAAAGCTAAGAACATGTTAACATTGGGTATTTCTAAACTCAGGAAAAAATGTTGAAACTATTTAGCATGGGTGTTTTTTGGCGGTTGTAGAAGTGTAACAGATTTTGGGGGTCAACGTTAGAAAAAGTGTGTTTTTTTACATTTTATTTATCATATTTTTATATATATTTTTTATAGTTAATTATATGATATGGTGAACATAATGGTATCTTTAGAAAGTCCATTTAATGGAGAGAAAATGGTATTTAATATGTGTGTGTACAGTTAATGAGTAAGAGGAAAATTACAGCTAAACACAAACACTGCAGAAATGTAAAAACAGCCCTGGTCCTTAACCCCTTAAGGACACATGACATGTGTGACACGTCATGATTCCCTTTTATTCCAGAAGTTTGGTCCTTAAGGGGTTAAAGGACCACTATAGTGCCCTGAGGGTGCCCCCACCTTCAGGGTCCCCCTCCCGCCCGGCTCTGGAAGGGGGAAAGGGGTTAAAACTTACCTTTTTCCAGCGCTGGGCGGGAAGCTCTCCTCCTCCGATCCTCCTCCTCTCCTCCCCGTTGGCTGAATGCGCACGCGCGGCAAGAGCTGCGCGCGCATTCAGCTAGTCGCATAGGAAAGCATTTATAATGCTTTCCTATGGACGCTGGCGTGCTCTCACTGTGAAAATCACAGTGAGAAGCACGCAAGCACCTCTAGCGGCTGTCAATGAGACAGCCGCTAGAGGCTTCGGGGGAAGGCTTAACCCATTCATAAACATAGCAGTTTCTCTGAAACTGCTATGTTTATAAAAGAAGGGGTTAACCCTAGCTGGACCTGGCACCCAGACCACTTCATTAAGCTGAAGTGGTCTGGGTGCCTAGAGTGGTCCTTTAATGGTAAGAAAATTTTAAAACGGTCTGGTCACTAAGGGGTTAAAAGTCACATTGACCATTTTCCATATGAAAAAAAAACCTCTCAGCTGAGATAGCTCACCATAAAGAAAATAAACGAATACAATATCCTACCTAGGCAATTTATTTACCTATGCCTAAATGTCCGTATTAGTTTGTTCTGGGAATGGAACGGTTAATGGAATGGATGACGGTTTTCTGTCTGACGTCACGAGGTGGGCCGGTCTCAGAGTGTGTCTCGGTGGGCGGAGCTGGAAAGCTCAGTCTGGTCCCGGAGTGTGGACCGGAGCGGGTGGGGGGAGGATGTTGCCCGGCAGGAGGAACGTTTATGTGCTGCTGGACATCCTGTGTGTCAGTGTCGGTGAGTCCAAAACTTTCCCTTTACATCCAAGTACCTTCCCGTCTGGGGACACTGCCATTTAAACTTTTTATTCCACTTATCCAATCTAGCCTCCTCCCTTCTTTCTATCCCGGACACTACTCACTGTTGTGGAGTCTGAACGCCCCCTCCGCATTCCTGGACTTTTCCCAACTCTACATATGTTGATAATCTCCCTTGAATATACCCCAACCCACTCCCACATGTTCCTACTTTATATGTGCACCCCAGTCTTTCAGTATGATATCTGCTATCTCTCCGTGGAATGGCTCCTAGTTTATATTCCAGTCTCTCTCTTTGTCTCTCCCAGTCTTCCACCCATCACACTCTGTTCTCTCTCCAGATGTGCTTTCACCCCTGGACTGCATTATCCAGCTTTACTTTCTGCACTCTTGTGTGTCACCATATGTTGCTCTCTCTTGTGGATCAATATCCCCGTTTTCTGCCCTCACATCATGCACCCTAACCCTGTCCTACCTGGAAGTTTTACTATTTTCCTTAACTCTGATACTCTCCTAATTTACTTTTCATATTGTCTTATCGTTTTCCTCTCCCCAGCCTGCCATTTCTCATGTTGTCTCTTTAGTGCCCTTCACTGTTCTGCACTTAGTCTTTGTTTGTACCCCTGCCACAGCCCTCTTCTGGGTCCTCAATTTCTGCAAGCACAATGTTTTCTTCCTGTGTCCATTAAGCACAAAAGTCAAGTATGCTGTTACCTCCTGCAGCTCATATTGTCCCGATTCTTACCTGTTTGTGTAGGCGTGCATGTACTTTGATACCAGTTTCTGTTTATTAGCTGTATAGGCTGGATATTGATCTGCAGTCACTGGCGATTGCTGTGGTTAGGGTTGTTATGTGTGTTTTGATCTATTTAGCTTATAATTTATTTAAACATTTTCAGTTTAATGTATAACTGCGTCAGTCTGTGCTTTACATATAGACCTGTTGTGGGATAGCTTCAAGTAATTGGTTGCGTGATTGTCCTTATTTTATTTCCATTATGCATCCATTCTACGGCAGGATTCTCAAGTTGGAGTAATCAGCTGATAGTCTATTGGTTTCCATGGTGATTGCGTTACTATTGGAATATTTTATATATATATATATATATATATATATATATATTGTTTTCCTTTCTAAATAATATAAGAACCAAACTAATTGGTCTTTATAATTATCCAATACTCTTATCAATATAAAACATTCTTGTCGCCCACCAGGTTAAAAGTAGCATGTGGCTCTAATGTATACCACGCAGTTTCAGAACACACATCTCATCATTTCAGTTTGCTGGATAATTACAAATTGTTTTTCTATGTGGTTTTGGCAAAAGGGAGAAGACTTGTTGTGGTAACTTAGTAGACTATTTTTAGCCATTTGTATAATAACAGGTAACACTTATATGAACTTTTGTTTTCTTGTCATTTAAATTGATGATACCTGAATGTCCTCCATATTGTGAGATTTTACATATGCAAATGAGACTTCAAGCTATACTAATGTGTCTGAAAATATGTAGATTAAGAAAGGAAGCTTTTTTTTTTTAACTTAAAAGCCACAGTTCTGTTTACCACAATGCTAATGTGTTGTAGCCTGAAGAGCTCATAATTGATTCAAACTTTGTTAGCCTTTTTTTTTTCTCTCCATTTTTAGTGATCACTGTGCAACAAACCTGATGTATGTTGTTTTTTTTATTTATTTTTTTATATACAGAGATATGCTATAAATACATGAGGAAACATACTTCAAATGTAAAATTATATATGAACAACATTTTAAGTAGTATTCAGGTGAATATGTGTTGGGGGGTGGGATGTAAGAGGTGGCCTTTTTGTCTTCTTCTGGGTGTAATATTTGCCACCCTGCCTTTGATTACATTGGGGGAAGGGACATAGGCAAAAGTGGAACCCTCCTGGCTAGGATCAAATATCTGACACTCTCCCATTGTTAGCCTCCCCTTCACCAAACAAGCCCTGTATCAGCTGTGGAGCATTACTGTTTAAAAACTTGGCATGCTGCTTTAATAAAGATGTACATAAGCTTTTTGTACAAAGGGATACTTCAGAAAAATGTTTTGTAAATGGCAGGAAGAATCCTTTGGTGTCCAATCGTGATCCTTGTTATCACAGAGATTAAATACCTTTTCTGACTTAAACGTCCGTGGAAGTGCAGTGAGCAGAATTTAAAATTTAATGTTCTACTAGCTGAGTCTAATATTTGCCCCCTTGTGTTCTGTCACCTTTTTAACTTGTACATTTAGTATATTTTAATTTATGCTCATGTGAAATTCTTTCATATATAATCCATTTTCATTTTGTGATATGTTACATGTTGTCCTTTTTACAGACTGTATTTCGTACCCGTACTTTTACCCTCTGTCACTATACCCCACTCCCTCTAGAATGTAAGCTCATGGAGCAGGGCCCTCCACCCCTCTGTTCCTGTACGTCCAGTTGTCTGGTTACAATTACATGTCTGTTAGTCCACCCATTGTACAGCGCTACGGAATCTAATGGCGCTATATAAATAATAATAATAAATCTGCTGATGCTTTATACATTTGCAAAATGTACATTTTTCCTATGTTAATGTGGATCTCAAGAGATCAACAATCTATATTTATCTACAAAGGATGCAACTTGTGTATAGCCTTGGAAGCGTCTGTATAATAGGCGTAAACCTGAATATCAGACAATTATGCAACAAGCACGCCCACTCCCTGTCAAAGTGCCAATTATGGGTGTACATGGAAAGCTGCTTAGGCAGATAACTAATATCAAGCATAGAAATTGCAGACCACAGTGAATAGTTGTTTTTATTTGTAGTCACTGTTTGTTAGCAATGAGTATAATATTTCAAGAAGTTAGTGAGTCCATAAGATTGTATTTTCGTGTTAAATATACTCGCAATGGAAGAGTAGATCAATTTTCGGGCAAATCTATAAACTTTGGGCAATTCGTATCCAATGCATTGTTTCCTATAGGGGTTTTTTCACAGCTTAATGCTGCCAATGGATCGCATTCATATTTACATAATGGCTAGGGATTAGGGCCACACGTTGTGGTCTGTGCAACTCGTGTGTGGCATCCCATTCAACCACACAGTTTTATTCTGTGGGCAGTGTGGCATGTTTTGTGAGTTGTGTTGGAATCACTGGTTTTTAAAACCCAGAAGTGGATGGAGCATCTAAATATGTGATGGTTAAATGTCCTGCACATGGGCAGAGGACACCCTAGTGGTCATAAAAAAATACATTAAAAAAAAATATATATAAATATATAAATAAATATAAATATATATATATATATATATATTTTTTTTTTTTCCTTTGGGTTTTGCACACATTTTTCTGTCTTCCATCAAATAACCTTTGAGTGCTTTGTTGTGTAATAAAATATATGGATTTGTGAATAGTCAGTAGGGAGAAGAATCTCCCAGGTACAACCAGGCACCTAGGTATACAACCACACATCCGATAAGAATATTTGTTTTACATTAAGATTTGTTTTTATTTTAGTATTTCTTGGTAGCTTCACCTGTTTTTACTTTCATGAAATCTTGAGACAACAAAAAGTTGTGAGACCGCAAACAGTTGCGTGTTTTTGTTTGTGTGTAAAACGCAAAACACATTGAGTCCTATTTTTTTAAATTAAGAAGGTAGCACTGATCCTGGCCACATATTCTTGGTTTTCGTTTATTTGCGTAGCAGACTTGCTGACGATTCAGGAAATCACTGAAGTGGCCATGGTACTTGGAGTAACGATCTAAGGGAACACTAAAGAGTTAGACAAGGCAAACCTGCCTTTATAATGCTTTAATGTCCCTAGTTATATAGTTCCCCTGAGTGTGCCATAAAATTATTAAATGGTTAAATGAATCGTTGTTTTTATTTGTAGTCACTGTTAGTTTAACGGGATCAATGCCCCAGGCATGGTAGACTTTAGGGGTCCTTTAATGTTTCTTCCATTAAAAGCAACTATATTAATAGCAGTTTTTGTAACACAGCCATGGCTTGATTAGAGTGTGGCAGAACAGACAAATTGTAGATGCTGCATTTCTGCAAAACAAGTATATGCATTCTCTGTATAATGCACTAAATACACTGTACTCTCTTTAAAGCACCTTTTACTTGACATCACATGGCATACTTTCTCTTGCTACCTTTTTGGTTTCCTCCCTTGTTCCCCCACCCCCCCACTTGAACGTGTTGTAGGCAGTACTTTAAAAAGATTCAGGTGATCACCTGAGAAACCTGATCTACAAGATCCTGACTACTTAACTCAGGTGTGTCATCCGCCCCTGTGTGCAGTAAGGTGTGTTTTGGTGAGTGCACAGGTGTTGCCTGCAGTTTATATCTACTGCATATAATGTATGTATATGCAATTGGCCTAAAAGTGTAGCAGTTTATTGTAGGATACATGTATAATAATAATGTATCATGTTACACTCAGTGTTTTTGCATTACTAAAGTCCATCCATTATCTACCTGTTTTACCTCCGACTGGGTGTAATTTTATAACCTAATAAGCCTGAACAAAAGGTCGGTGTTCGAAGCTTGAGGTTGATGTGCTTAAAGGGACACTCCAGACTCCTAAATCACTTTAGCTTGATAGAAAGCATTGTGTGTGAAGATTGTCTCCTTTTTTTTTTTCATTTTACAAGTGCAAATTTCAATAGAAATTTACACTTTTATAAAGTAACCTGGTTACAGCAGGTCCTACTTCTTGTTGTGGTTAGCTCAGTGGATCTAAACTTAAAAGGCAGCAATTGCTCTGTGCACCTGGCTTGCAAAGACTTTGTATTTAGCTCCATTTGGGAAATCTGTGATTGGACAGAAAAATAAAGTCTGTGCAGGGTTAGAACGGGATGGCTTTCAAAGGCAGCAGACAAGAGAGAGGCAGGTTTTACAAGCTGTTTTTTGATTTACATCCTGTGAAAATATGCATAATTAAAATTTGGGGAATATCTACGAAGCATTAATTTTTATTTATTTTGTATTTGGGCAGTGGATTGTCCCTGTAATGGCTTGCAGTGTAGAATATTATCACTTCTGTTGCTAGTGGGCTGACTACAGACTCCAAATATGCACTAAATTTACATTAGGCAGCCTGGAACGTTCTGGGCTGCCTAAATCACATGTGCATGTTTAGTGCCATTGCAACCACAGTGAGGGAAGCTCTGCCTTTTGAAAACAATGTGTCTTGGTAAAATATTCAATCTACATAATGTACATTGTAAAAATGAATTATTTAGTTTGTATCTTTCCTTTATCAGATGCACACACTGTTTTTAGCAGTTTGTGTTCAATGAATGAAATCAACTAATTTACAATTCCATTTACTTTTATTTTATGCAACTATTTTAATTTTCCTCAAATTACAGTAAAGCACTATTCATTTTGCAAATAGAATAAAAGGTTAACCTCATTTGGCCAGGTACCTATAAAGAGCCCTTTAAAAAAATGTCTTGTGCTTGTTTCCTTTGTAAGGTGCTACACAATTCTTTATGAAGGCACAATCAATCCAGGGAACGGAAGTTTCTCTCCAGCAAGATATCAGTCTGTAAATGATATGTGCAACATGATGATTCTTGTGGCAACTTCAATTAAAGGAACACTATAGGTCAGGAACACAAACATGTATTCCTGACCCTATAGTGCAAACCCACCATTAGGGTGGCTTCCCCCATGCCCCCCCCCCCCTCCCCCTTACTCCACTTAAAAGCATGAAAAAATTATTTCTAGCCCCGTGCAGGTCTGCCAGGACTGGCCCCGCCCCCTTGATGACATCATAATTGCTGATTTTTAGCCAATCCAATACTTTTCCATGGCGAAAACATTGGATTGGCTAAAATCAGCAAGGGGTGAGGCCAAACACCATTTTTGCAAATCAGCACCTCCTCATAGGAGGAAAACTCAGCATCTCCATGCAGAGCGTGGGGACGCTAAATGGCAGAGCTTCCTACTGTGCAGCACTGAGCCAGGAAGCACCTCCAGTGGCCATCTGAAAAGGCAGTATTTATGTGACAATGCCTGCATATAATGATTATACTCACCAGAACAACTACATTAAGCTGTAGATGTTCTGGTGACTATAGTGTCCCTTTACATTTTGCCTAAATCACGCCTTTAGTGGCTGTTAGACAGCCAGTAGAGGTGTATCCAACTTAAGACCTTTGCATTTCAAAGGTCTTCACTCTGTATCATCATGCACAGCGTAATGACGCTGAACAACTCTAATGCTTTTCTTAGAGAAGCATTGTAGTCAGTGCACCTCCATGAAAGTATTGGATTGATGGGGTGACACAACTGCCCATTTAGAAAAAGTGGCTGTAACAAAGAGCATGGGAACCTGCCCAGGTGCTGGAAAGAAAAGGTTTTTTTTTTTTAGTTTCATAACCTAATTTAATCTAAACAGGTATAGCTTAATATAAAAAATAAATATAAATTGTATGAGTCCCAGTATGGCTGATTATATATACAGCGCTGTGGAATTTGTTGATACTTTATAAATAATCATAATAATGTTTGTTGCACTTTACCTTTGGTCCCATCTCCTAAACCCTAGGGAAATTAGTCGCCTGTACTATAAACGCCTTTAAACGCACACAAATTTTGTTGCACTCACTGCGTATTCCACTACTGGCCTGGTGCTAATCAGCAAAAACATAGAAAGGTAAAGTAGATAGCACTCCTCTGTCTTTCTTGTAAGTAAAAAATAGCTTTTATTGCTCAAAATTAAAAGATCAACGTTTCATTCTGCTGCTGCAAACTTTCATCAGGACATGTTTGCAGCAGCAGACTGAAACGTTGATCTTTTAATTTTGAGCAATAAAAGCTATTTTTTACTTACAAGAAAGACCGAGGAGTGCTATCTACTTTACCTTTATTTATATTTATAGAGATAGAGAAATATAATCTGCTCTAGCAGGTTTGATTAAGTATTAAATTGTAGTTTGTTCACCGTATTCGTCTGTAGTTGCAACCAGAACTAGCTTGTTTGCTAATCCCGTGGAAGGATATTATATGACATAATGGACGAGCCCAGTCAAAGCTGGAAGTGGCCTTTATTTTTACTGCATCATAGGAATAATTCTTTAAAATGCTAACTAAAAATAAATTATCTTCATAACTGTTCATACCCTGAGGCTTTGCGCCATCTGCAGTGAACACTCACTGAGATAGAAATGGCTTTAGTAATTGTGCTGCTCTCATTCTGTTCAGAAGAGTTTTCAATTTAACCCACAAACTCCCAAATAGCAGAAATTAACGGGATAAGCAGTTTAGCACTTTGCAGCAGTTCCATTGATCACATAGTTTGAATGGAAGACAATGAGCGTAAAATCACCTGAATGAGCAGAGGATACAGGGCCAGGTTGATAGCTTTTATTTTAGGGTTTTTTGGTTTTTTTTTCTTATAATTTTGTACTGGGAGACATGAGAACTCTTTGTACCATAACCTACGAATATGTTATGATTCTTGGAATGTCATTTTCAATTTGCATTAATATCGCCAACTGTTTTTTTGAAGGGGTGGTCCTAAGACTGTGTACCACTATTCCCTTGTAAATAAATAGGCCGAATGTTTCTAAACAAGAGTAGAAAATAATACTTTCATTAAAAGCACTGTAATCTCTATAGTTTATTGTAATGTTTGCCGCAGTATTGTGCTACAGTTTGCCAAGGTTCAGATGGCAGGTGGACATCCTAAGATTTTCCTTCAGAAGCTGCTGTTTTGATCTAATTGTTGCAAGGTTTTCGGCCATGCTATGAGCTCCAAAACCTGACAAACCAAGCAGGGGATGCTTTTCAGTATTCTTCCAGTAGCCGTAAGGAACACACTGGTTACATTAGAAATGGTTTCTTGTAATCTTGAGTCTCTTTTTGGAAAGAACAGTGTTTCTACCTTATTAAAATAACACTCCAAGCCTACTATAGCGGTGCCAGTAGTGCTCTAGTGACCATCCCAGGTAAGTAGTTAAATGGTTGGGCTTTACTAGTGCTATTGAAAGTAGTAACAAATGCAAACTTTTTTTAACATTCTATGCATAGTGCCATAAAAATAGTAAATACAGTTCAATCATATATTTCTAAAATAAAGTATTTGAACTTGCTATACATACCTCCCAATATTGGAAAGTATGTAATTTGAAATGGTTTTTTGGCCTCGTATGCAGTGTCTTCAGTAACGCAACTTGTGTCACTGGTGACACCCATAATTGGCAGGTACTATCTGAGGAAGTTCGCATGGCAACCCACATAGGGGGCGTGTCAGCCTGGCATCAGGCCCACCAGGCTGAACGCTTACACACCAGCCATCTGCTAAAATATTCTCTGCAACGTCATACAACTTCACTGTTAAAACCTGATAGTGCTTTAGTGGTATACTTAATATAGAGACTATAGCTGTAATAACTTAATGATCAGCTGGTTCTGTTGGATCTTATGTTACATCATGAGTTTAAGCAAAATAATGCAAATGTAATTATTTTTGCCTCATGACATAAAGGGAAGAAATGATTGAACTTTCCACTCCAAAATTTCTTCTGCCCACTTATGATCTCATCACAATGAAAATACTGTTCAATGGCATTTATAACTGAACAGTAACAGTTGCATGTATATACGGTCATTTCACAAGACAATAACAAATTCGGATCTCTGAACTACTCGCATCTCCTCCGTGAGTATATTTATCCTCATAATACTATATTGATATTTTAAAGGCGCACTATAATGACAGGAAAACAAACTTGTTTTCCTGGCACCATAGGGTCATTAGACCCCCCCCTCCGCTGCTGGGCTAAAGGGGTTAAAACCCCTTCAGCCACTTACTCTTCTCCAGCGCCCGGCTCCCTCTGTGCTAGGGGAACCCTCCACCCCCTGCCGATGTCAGATCCGGATGCGCATGCACGGCAAGAGCCGTACACGCATTCAAACCACCCATAGGAAAGCACTACCCAATGCTTTCCTATGGACGTCCAGCGTCTTTTCACTGTGATTTCACTGGATTAACCCTCAGTGAAACATAGTTTCTCTGAAACTATGTTTTCAGCTGCAGGGTTAAAACTAGAGGGACCTGGCACCCAGACCACTTAATTGAACTGAAGTGGTCTGGGTGCCTATAGTGGTCCTTTTAAGCATTATATATATTGTAGTGAATCTTAGATCTAGGCTGGGATCAACTATTGGGTCCTCGTGTTTGTTCTGTGGCTTCTCAGTGAAACATAATATTCATCTGGCCCTAGGCAACTGCCCACAATAAATAGCATGTTGTTGAAGCCCTGCTTTCTGAAAAACAACATTTAGTCTAATGAAGTTAAATGTGTGCAAAGAAATCTGTTAAAAGAATAGGATGGATAATTCAGTTAACAAAATCATTCAATTGAGTGTAAATTGACTTTGACAGGAAGAAGAATGCAAGTATTCAAGTTTTAAACCAGTAACCTGGATACATTGATTGCTGGTGGACAGAGCACAACAGAAATAATCCGTACTTTTTTGCAAAGCGTAAAAGAACAATAGTCTGTCTGCATCCGCTTGAAAAGGATCACTGGGATAGGACTGTATAAAATTGCTATAAAAGTCATAAACATTAAACTTAATTAAAGCTAAACTGTCACTTAAATTGTACATGTGCATGAGATGTAGCACTATGTATAACTCTGTCAGTTGTGGATTGTGAGTTTAAAAAAACCCCCCCAAAAAAACACATTCGATTTAATATTTTAATTTGCAAGGATGCCTGGCTAATGTAAGTTACATGAAGTTCAAACACTCGATGTGCCCCCTGTTTAGAAAAGTTTGATTTTCCCCATTCCAAGTCTTAACTACAACAGAAACTGAGATCCAGGAACTCCCAAGCAGGTGCTTTTGTTAGCTCTCCTGAGTACTGCAGTTGGTAGTAGGGGAGGCAAGGAGTGGTGCCTTGCATTCCCCAGGTAAATAAGTGAAACTGTTATATAATGGTCTGACTACTTACAATGGGGGGCACCAAGACACTCCTAGGACCATAACCACTGAAGGAATTCCTGAGCGCGCATGTGTTTTTATGGCATTTCTCTGTATCTTGAGCATGCCAGAGGTATCATAGAGTGGCAAAGAAAGTGTGGCTGAAGTTTTTTTGTTTTTTGTAAACTCTTTCTACAGATGCCCTACCCTATTCATGTTAAATTTCCAAATCCCATCACAAATGCAATTATTAAAATGAATGCGCACAATGCTAACAAACTGCATCAAACAATAATGTGCCAAACAGTTTGCAGGTAGGTATTCAGAGGGCACCTTATTTACCTTATTTCCTCCTTACTTTCTTCTTCGCTTGTGGCTTCTTCTCTGTTTTTGCTTTCTTCCTCATAATGTATGCCTTCGAGTGGGCGATTTAAAAATTATAGTAGCTATAAATGATCTATCCACACCATATCTTATATGAGGCTGCTATCTATATGTCAACCATAATTATTTTATTAAAGGACCACTATCGAGAATGCTTTCCTATGAGACTGGCTGAATGCGCGCGGCTCGTGCTGAGCATGCGCATTCAGCCGATGATGAGGAGGAGAGTCTCCCGCCCAGCGCTGGAAAAAAAAGGTAAATTTAACCCCTTCCACCCCCTAGAGCCTGGCACCCTCAGGGCACTATAGTGCCAGGAAAACGAGTATGTTTTCCTGGCACTATAGTGGTCCTTTAACCCCTTAACGACGAGTTGTCCGTCACTCAGGGAAATGCCATACGATGAGTGACGGACCTCCTCCTTGACCCGTTAAAATGAACCCCGGATCGCCGCTATCATGGTGATCGCGGGGTTAATGGTGCTCCGGTCTGCCTCTGTATTAGAGGCAGACCGGGAGCACCCGATAGTGCTGCCCAGCACATGTGCTCGCTGTGACAGCATGTCAGAGCGAGCACATGTGCTTAGTATACTTGCCTTCCACCTCCCTGCACTTCCTGGTTCTGTGTGAAGTGCAGGGAGACAGATCAGTGATGATCCTGCCCCCTGTTAAAAAATAAATAAATACATTTTATTTAAAATCCCACCCCCCTTTACTCATTTTAATAAAAAATGAACCCCTTCCCTGCCAATTGATCACTGACTACACTGATCAATTGGCAGGGATTACATTTTACGGTCATCTGATTTTTATTTTTTTAACCCCTGAGGGTTAATTTTTATTTTATTTTTAACCCTCAGGGGTTAAATTTATTTAATTAAATTAAATATTTTAAAATTATATGTTTAGCTAGCTGGAGTGGGTGGAAGTTAATGGGGAATTGTGGGATTTACCCAGTCCAAATAAAAATTAACCCCTTCCCTGCCAGTCGATTACTGCCTACAGTGATCAAAATACAGATCACAGTATTATACTGTGATCTAATTTTTTTTAACCCCTGAAGATTAACTTTTATTTTTTAACCCTCAGGGGTTCAATTTTTTTAATTAATTTAAATATTTTATAATTATATATTTTGCTAGCTGGGGTGGGTGGGAGTTATGGGAAAATGGGGAATTTACTGTTAGTGCTGCTTACTGCTAGTTAGGGGTTAACGGTAAAAAAAAAAAAAGCTTAGAAAAATGTTAAATCTGTAAAAAAAAGTTTTAAGAAAGTTTACAAAAGTTTAAAAAAAATGAATAAGCAAAACAAAAGTTTAAAAACTAGTTTTTAAAAGTAAAAAAATACATTAAAAAAACGCTCATTACCACTACACCTGGAACGAACTAGAGGAAAAATTATCCCACGCTAAGGTTCAAAATATGCCTTTTGAATTACCCCAGGGTGTATTCTTTAATCAATAGTATGTGTTTGTGGGGAAGTTTCAATAACCAACCGTCTAAACTACTCTAAATTGGAACATGGACACACAGCGTAAAACTTCAAAGTTAGAAAAAACTGGCTGCTTCTCAAATGCGACCCTTGCAAAGGTACATATGGTGGTATTTCTGTACTCAGACGACATAGCTGAGCAACATATGAAGTATTATACAGTCGTAGCACACATAAGGTTTGCAAAATATACTGTGCAAACTCACTGTGTGTCAAAAAGGCAGAAAAAACACTTACCACTACACTTGGTACAAGCTAGCGGAAAAATGATCCCACGCTAAGGTTCAAAATATGCCTTTTGAAATACCCTGGGATGTCTTTAAGAAATGGTATGGCTTTATGGGTATTTGGATTATGCAGCCTGGTAAAATACTCTAAAATGGGACATAGGCACAGCGTAAAAATTCTAAGTTTGAAAAAAACTGGAATGGCTGTGTCCCAAATGTGCCCCTCCGATGTCCACATATACCTGGCAAAGGTACATACGGGGGTATTGCTGTACTCAGCCGACATAGCTGAGCAACATATCTAGTATTATACACTGGTAGCACTCATAAGGTTTGCGAAATATACTGTGCAAACTCACTTTGTGTGTCAAAAAGGCAGAAAAAAACACTTATAACCACTACACTTGGTGCAAGCTAGAGGAAAAATGATCCCACGCTAAGGTTCAAAATATACCTTTTGAAATACCCTGGGGTGTCTACTTTAAGAAATGGTAGGCCTTTGTGAGGTAGTTTGAATTTAAACCCTGCTAAGATGCTTGGAAATTGCACATAGGACCAGCGTCAAAATTCAAATTTCGGTAAAAACTGATATGGCTTGGTCTCCTATATGGCACTGTAGCTTCACGAAATAGTGCCAAATACATACAATGGGGGTGTCATTTTACTCACAAGACTTAGCTGAGCATAATTTGGGGGGTTTGAACTTAGTGGTACATGTGAAATATACAAAATGCCCAGCAAAAATGCAATCCATGTGTAAAAAAACGCACAATTATTTTTTACCACATTCTTTGGCATATATTGGTGAAGAAATGGGGGACTGTTAAGGCACAATATACACCTTATGAGATACCCTGGAGTGTCTACTTTTACAAATGATAGGCCATTGTGGGCTTTTTTGAACAGTCAAACTGTTATAATACCCCAAATGGAAGCATAGGCTCATTAAATCAGTCTCTCAAAATTGTACTGTGAATACTGAAAAGAACAGGCCTCCTATATGGTACTGTAACTTCACGAAATAGTGCCAAAGACATACAATGGGGGGGGGTCATTTTACTTAGCAGATGTAACTGAACACAAAAAAAAACCTTTGTACATGAATAGCACACACCAACTTTACAAAATACACATGAGAATTTCTTTGTTATAAGTTTGTGTGCCAAAAACCAAAAAAAACACAATTTTACTCCAATATTTAGCAGAGGTTGGCGGTGAAATGGCTACGTAGAAAGTGTCAAAACAACCCTAGGTAAATAGCCTGTGATGTCTTCTTTGTAAAAATATATACTTTTGTGTGGCAATTTTGTTTTCTTTTATGGCTATTAAGCTTACAAGACAAACATACCAAATTCTAAAATCGCTCCACATTAAAAGTTTTTTACTCCTTGTGCTTTGTGACCTGTAACTACCAAAAAAAACTTAAAATCCCAGACACCTTATATATTCTGTAAATCAGAACTAAATGAATTTATTTTTAATTACTTTACTTAACCTGCACTAATTATGCACACATTATTATTGCAAAAACTGTAAAAAAAAATTAAATAAAAAAAATTCAATTTTTTTGCATTTTTCTGTATTTTTTTTAGAGTAAATAAGTATATATATATATATATATATATATATATATATGTATATATATATGTATATATATATATATGTATATATATATGTATATATATGTATATATATATATATATGTGTTACATCAAATTAAAGACCTTTCTGTCCTTTAAAAAAACGATATATAATATGTCTCGGTGCAATAAATTAGTAAAATGCAAATTGCAGTTGAACGCAAAAAGCAAAAAATTAAAAAAATGCTGTTATTAAGTGAAAGACAAGCTTCTGAAGCTCTGTCCTTAAGGGGTTAACTTATATTTGGTTTCTTCTTTACTATTTACAAAAGTTTATACTGTATGCACATATTACTATGCTACTTCTTATTGTGCATTTTCATAACCACTTATTCTATGTTTGTTCAAAAATGTAAATACATTTTTTATTGGTTAAAAAAAGAAAGAAAAAAAAGTAACATGCACAATAATAAAATATACACATAGTTACACACAGTCAGGGCCAGACTGGGAAAAAAAATTCGGCCCGGGCATTTTTAACCCCTTAAGGACCAAACTTCTGGAATAAAAGGGAATCATGACATGTCACACATGTCATGTGTCCTTAAGGGGTTAATCACAGCGACCCACTAAGAAGGGGGCTGGGCAGAGAGGGTGTGTTATGTCATCCCCAATGACAAACACTCTCAAAGTAAGCATGTTGGTTCAATGCACTGTGTGGCAGTGTAGTGTGTGTGTCTATATGTTCCAGCGTTCACTCTCGCGAGATTGGGGGCATTGCCATGGCAACGTTCTGGATCTCCCGAGAGGAACCCGGCAGAGCTGCACGATAGAGCTCTGCCAGGTCCTCTCTCCCTCCGTCCCCAGCCACTGGCCGCTTGTTAGTGATAGTGGGCCGGTGAGGGAGATCTTTGATCTCCCCACTGGCCTGTCATGGAATGCAGCAGGGCTGGCACTCGGATAGAGCGGGCCCTGCATGGACCAGCAGGGGAGATCCTTTGAGATCCTGCATTTGCCCGGTGTGCCAGATGGTCAGTCCGGGCCTGTACACAGTATCACATTGTGTTAAAGTCCAAATGTATATAAAGTGCAGAAAAATATTCACTTTCACTTTCTTTACCATTTGCACTGTTGAAATAACTCTTAGAATTGCAACCCAGTATCTATATATAGTATCATTTGATGTGATACACTAAGTGAAGGGAATTATTTTGTTACTTTATGTGCATTTGCACTTTAACACATTGTAATACTGTATGTTAGCAAGTGTATATTTATCATGGCTTGATACTGTGTTAGCACTTGATTACATTGCAGGTTAAGACAACCACTAGAGTTCAACTCAGTGAAATGACATTGGACATCCTCACACTTTGCATGAGCATGTCCATCTTATTTAAAATCCCCAGAGGAAAGCATTTATTAAATGCTTTCCAGTGGGGAAGGTCTTATGTGCATGGGCTAGTTTCACCTCTGGCACACATGACTTAGGTAGCCCAGGACTCTGTTCCGGCCTTACTAATATCAACTCTGTGCATATTTTATGTCTGCACTGCACGCTGGTAACAGATGTAATTTGAATCTTCCTTTGAATGCCCTGCATGCGCGTTAGGCATTCGCTATAGGATAGCATTGGCCAAGCGCTTTCCTTTGAGGTTTTTCAACACGCTGGACATCCAGCGTCATTTCACAGAGTCAAACTCTGAAACTGCAGGAATCGCCTCTTAGCAGCTTTCTGTTAGCAGTCACTAGAGGCAGTCTTACAACTGCAATGTAAACTTAAATCTAAATCAATGAGATGAAGTGGTCTAGGTGCCTATAGTGTCCTTTTAAATTGGTCATGGTGCTTGGAGTTTGTATGTACAGATTTCAATATGTAACTCTGACAGCAATATAAAATATCACAATATGTGTGGAGGAGAACCTCCACCTCTGATAGCTTCATTAGTAAACCATTAGCAAGCCTGGAACAAGAGTTCCAGACTGGTTAATGCCAATTCTGTGCATATCTTTTGCACAGAGGGTCATTCAGTGGCTGAAAGCACTCAGTTGACACTTCACGCCCATAAATGCCTAGTGGATTGCTATCTGCCTTCTTCATATCAGTTAAGCATCACCCAGCATTAGAGAAGAACAGTATTGATGTTCAAGCAAAGACAAGAATATGTATTCTATAATAATGTTTTAGTTAAATAAAACAATTTCATTTGTTCTCCGAAAATCAGTGGTTAAACTATTACGCTGGAGACAGCCCACTTTGCAATCATTTCATTATTTTATATATATTTCTAATGGTATATAACAAAATATGTTCTGATATCAAAAAGTTTATTGTACATATCAAATCTTCATCTGGTTAAAAAATATTAAATATAATAACCAGCAAGAAGGGGTCTTTTTATGGTTCAAAATCACAATTTAAATCAAGCCAAACTGGCAAGTGATTTAAATAGATATTATTTCAATCAAATCCACCCTGTCTCTGCATAATTTGGATTTACCCCAAGCATCTACAGGGAGTGCAGAATTATTAGGCAAATTAGTATTTTGACCACATCATCCTCTTTATGCATGCTGTCTTACTCCAAGCTGTATAGGCTCGAAAGCCTACTACCAATTAAGCATATTAGGTGATGTGCATCTCTGTAATGAGAAGGGGTGTGGTCTAATGACATCAACACCCTATATCAGGTGTGCATAATTATTAGGCAACTTCCTTTCCTTTGGCAAAATGGGTCAAAAGAAGGACTTGACAGGCTCAGAAAAGTCAAAAATAGTGAGATATCTTGCAGAGGGATGCAGCACTCTTAAAATTGCAAAGCTTCTGAAGCGTGATCATCGAACAATCAAGCGTTTCATTCAAAATAGTCAACAGGGTCGCAAGAAGCGTGTGGAAAAACCAAGGCGCAAAATAACTGCCCATGAACTGAGAAAAGTCAAGCGTGCAGCTGCCACGATGCCACTTGCCACCAGTTTGGCCATATTTCAGAGCTGCAACATCACTGGAGTGCCCAAAAGCACAAGGTGTGCAATACTCAGAGACATGGCCAAGGTAAGAAAGGCTGAAAGACGACCACCACTGAACAAGACACACAAGCTGAAACGTCAAGACTGGGCCAAGAAATATCTCAAGACTGATTTTTCTAAGGTTTTATGGACTGATGAAATGAGAGTGAGTCTTGATGGGCCAGATGGATGGGCCCGTGGCTGGATTGGTAAAGGGCAGAGAGCTCCAGTCCGACTCAGACGCCAGCAAGGTGGAGGTGGCGTACTGGTTTGGGCTGGTATAATCAAAGATGAGCTTGTGGGGCCTTTTCGGGTTGAGGATGGAGTCAAGCTCAACTCCCAGTCCTACTGCCAGTTCCTGGAAGACACCTTCTTCAAGCAGTGGTACAGGAAGAAGTCTGCATCCTTCAAGAAAAACATGATTTTCATGCAGGACAATGCTCCATCACACGCGTCCAAGTACTCCACAGCGTGGCTGGCAAGAAAGGGTATAAAAGAAGAAAATCTAATGACATGGTCTCCTTGTTCACCTGATCTGAACCCCATTGAGAACCTGTGGTCCATCATCAAATGTGAGATTTACAAAGAGGGAAAACAGTACACCTCTCTGAACAGTGTCTGGGAGGCTGTGGTTGCTGCTGCACGCAATGTTGATGGTGAACAGATCAAAACACTGACAGAATCCATGGATGGCAGGCTTTTGAGTGTCCTTGCAAAGAAAGGTGGCTATATTGGTCACTGATTTGTTTTTGTTTTGTTTTTGAATGTCAGAAATGTATATTTGTGAATGTTGAGATGTTATATTGGTTTCACTGGTAATAATAAATAATTGAAATGGGTATATATTTTTTTTTGTTAAGTTGCCTAATAATTATGCACAGTAATAGTCACCTGCACACACAGATATCCCCCTAACATAGCTAAAACTAAAACAAACTAAAAACTACTTCCAAAAATATTCAGCTTTGATATTAATGAGTTTTTTGGGTTCATTGAGAACATGGTTGTTGTTCAATAATAAAATTAATCCTCAAAAATACAACTTGCCTAATAATTCTGCACTCCCTGTAGAAAACCATAAAATTGCACTTTAATGATGGTGAGATTTTTTTTATTTTTTTATTGCATGTTCCCAAAGGCATGCTTTCTACAGGAAACTATTCCTTACTACAGTATCTTCTTCTGATTTTAATATGCATGTCAATTCTTCCCAGAAATGAACGTGAGTCACTTTTCAATTGCTGTGATAGGGTGTGTGCATTGATAGCAGACGGGACCTTGCAGTCTGTGTTTACTGATGATTTAGATGCATACAGTTTGCTTTTAGAGCAGTGTTTTCCATGGAAAGACTTGGTTGGGCATTGACACTAACCGCCCTGGTTCCAAATTATAGTTAATGGTGTATAGCACCTTGGACACTTATGGAAGTTCATACCCATATTTATACATCAGTGGTCTGAAAGGGTTTAAGGCCTCTAGTTTTTCCATAATATATGATGTATACATGCTGAATGATCTAATACACAGTTTGCCAGTGTTTACTTGGACAGGTTTGATAGCTGCTGTTGTGTAGACTATTTTAATGACTGATTTTCCCAGTGTCTGGCTTATTTATTCTCATGCGGAACTGTTAAATGGAAGAATAGCCTTGGCACTTTCATAATGGTTCTTTTCTTGGAACTTTACAGCAGAGCTCAGGCAACCCATTTATTATATTCAAGCAAGCAGGAAAACCAGATTCTCAACTGTGAAGTCTAGATGGTTCCTACTTTGTTACTTCTTTTTGGAAAATGTGTTATGTTTATAGCTGTGTTTGCACATATATTTGTTAACAGTTATGTTGAACACACAGCTTGTCTAAGCTTGGATATTTAATCTGGTTTAAAGAAGATAAAAATATAATTTAGAGGGCTCTCATGTTCATTGCTGTTACCTATGCATGACATCCAGGACTTGATTGGCTACTGGATATGCTTTCCTGCTCTGTTGGGTTGTGATAAGATATGCGCGACTCCTGTCTATTGGAAATCAGAATTATGTATTTATTTATATTACAATGGTTGTGATGTACATTTTTTTTTTAAATGTATAATAAAGTTTTTTTTGCTTGGTTTTTTTCACTTGCAATACTTTCAACAATAATTGGTCTACTGCATGTATCCACTCTTTCATCCTCCCTCCAAGTAGGCTTAGTTTCTATTTTTGCTGCTATAGATCTAAGTAACATCCCATAAATATGCACTATGTATGTTGCTAAGTGGCCAGTAGGGACTGTATCATGTCTTTTTATTAAACTACAATTGCAACATTGGTATAAAGTGTGTGTATGGTGCTGTGTGTTAGCAGCAGGACAGGCACTAACATATTATCACAGAAAATAATAGCTGCTTTTGGACAAGCAGCTATCCTTCTATAATGATAACTCATTTGCCTAAAGATTGGCTGTTTGGGACTTGTCAATGCACTGGTTATTTAGTTCTAAAAAAATGTATATGTGCACTGCTGAAATCCCATCAGTAGCAGAGACTGAACTGCTGGTTTAGAGATAAATTATATTAAATGAATGGCTTAAATGGCATTTTATATTTATACACAACCTTAAAGATACTTTGACTGTTAATCAATGACTATTATACCTAACAGTTGGGACTGTAATCATATCAAGATGAAGTGAATGACACTGACAATTAAGTTATTCATAGCAGTCCCTGAATATAGAATAAGCTTCCTTGTTTCTGTTTTGTTCTCCACACTGAGAAATGGGAGCACATGAGTTCCCTTGTCAACGTTTCTTATCTTATTATCATGGCTGATATTAGCCCAGTGAGACTGACGTCTTCGCATTCCATTAACAAATGCAGGAAAAGAGATAAGTATGTACAAGCATATGTGATTCTCATAGCCTGCTTTACTGGCTGTATTACCTTGAAAGAACTATGTAACAGAGCACCTGGGACATATTGGGGACAGAATGTAACTTTGAAACATGGTGTTTGGTGAAACTGTTTTACATTTTTAAATTTGTAACCTTCATTGTACATATAAACAAGAACTTGGCAAATGCTTATATAATTGAGGAGCCAGTGGCAAAATTTAATGCACCAGGCAAACTTTGTATAGCACACAAACTTAACAATGCACTCACACACCTCTCCTTAGTTAGTTAGCCATGCACTCACTCTCCTCTTCCTGGTTAGTTAGCCATGCACTCACTCTCCTCTTCCTGGTTAGTTAGCCATGCACTCACTCTCCTCTTCCTGGTTAGTTAGCCATGCACTCACTCTCCTCTTCCTGGTTAGTTAGCCGTGCACTCACTCTCCTCTTCCTGGTTAGCTAGCCGTGCACTCACTCTCCTCTTCCTGGTTAGCTAGCCGTGCACTCACTCTCCTCTTCCTGGTTAGCTAACCGTGCACTCACTCTCCTCTTCCTGGTTAGCTAACCGTGCACTCACTCTCCTCTTCCTGGTTAGCTAACCGTGCACTCACTCTCCTCTTCCTGGTTAGCTAACCGTGCACTCACACACACACACAACTCTCTCTATTTTGCATTCCCTAGTACTACATTTAGGCAGTTAATCATGATGCAGTGCACATATGTCAGGGGAGTAGGGAATGCTGTCTCTGCTACACCATAATGTAGAGACATTATACTTCTCTACTAGGTAAATAGGCTACTTATCTCCTATTTCCTCTCTTAATTGATTGAAAGACAAAACAAAGTAGCACAAAGTCTCATGTTTGTGTTACCATGAGAACCTGGTGCCCTTGATTTATCTGGCCCTGGTATAGACACACATTTTGTTGCAATTACATTTTAGTGCAGGCATTGTTTTTGCCACAGCCCCAAACTGTGGTAACTAATGTGGCTGTAGATGCCAAGTGGGTAGGCGGCCAGCAGAACGAATACTATTGAACTATAAATGGTGATAATTATAATAATAACTACAATAAACATGCATCTTTTAACTCTTGTTTTGGGCTCAGATCAATAGAGCGTTGATCATATCTTGCACAAATCACGTAACCTATTATTGGGGGATGTAAAACCTCTCCCTCTCCAACAGAATGAATGATCTTTATGTTCAAAGGGTCATTGCTTACAGCAGGTTTTCAGGTTTCAAGCTCTATTCAGATGCCATTATAGCAGGTAGGCACACATGAAATTCTATTCACCTACAGAGAGATCTATATCTTCAGACTAAGTACAGTTAGGGCATTATACCATTAAGACACTTGAGTTATGAGAGACGGTTAAGTTTGAAATAATATTTTTAACAATTTTTTATTTGAGCATATGAAAGTAACTTTTACGATATTCACTGTGTATATATGTGTGTGTTTACATGCAAATAATTAAGTTGTTTGTTTTTCTCTCACAGTTGTAATTAAAGGAACTATATAACATTAGGAATACAAACCTGTTTTCCTAATGCTGTAGTGCCCTGTAACTACCTCTACACAGCCTCTCACCCCCCCCCCAGCCAGGTTGTCATAAAATAAAGGATCTACTTACCATTGGCACTGCCTACCTCTCCGCTTCAAACCATGTCCTCAAGGAGGCATGGTCCGATCCAGTGCCCATCATAGCGGAGCGTTGGGGACCTAATGCACATATGCAGCGATCATATATTCAAGCTTTCCCATGGGGAAGCATTGAATCAATGTTTTCCAATGTGGGATTCCATGTGACATGATAGAGTTTGATGATCGAAGGAAGCAACTCTACAGACTGTCATACTGACAGCCACTAAAAGTGGACTTACTTTTGCAATGGGATAAACGACCTGGCCAGTGCACCCAGACTTCATTGAGATGAAGCTGTCTGGGTTACTATAGTGTCTCTTTCAGTCAATTGTCATATACAATACACCATGTAACCATGAGGTAAAGTTTAAAAAAGTAAAACTGCCTTTGACCGCAATAATGGATGCAAATATGTTCACAAAATGTCTGCTAGCCTGTGGCATGCAGGGAGTTATGGAAGTTGTTATTCAAAATCATTTTGGGTCACAGTGTAACATGGTATTTTTTTTGTTTTTGTTTCCAGCAGTATCCCAGTGTGTTACATTTTAAATAATAATTCATATTTCTCTAATGTGACATATGATGTGGCATAGGGCTAAATTTATTGTCCATCGTCCCCTTGAAATGTTACAACGTTGCTTTGTAATTCTTGCTCAGAAGAGTCAGGTATTACAAAATTGGAAATGAGGCCACGTGGGGTACTTTACATGTGCAAGAACCAGCCTGACCAGGTAAAAGAGGGAGGAGGTGTCCTTCCCAATAATCCACGAGCTGCGCCCTAAGCACACATTAGCTAGTGGAGTGCAAAAATGTAAACATTTTTTTTTTCTTCTTCTTTTTTCACATTTTAGCCACTCGTTGAGGTGAAGTGATTCATTAGCAATCCATGTTTGGTATGGCACTTGAAGAAAATCTAATATTTCTTTCCTGTAATGTTTTAATAATTCAGACATTCGGGATTGTACAACATTTACAAAAATTTTTGTTGAAATAAAATATAACACACAAGTACTAGGGGACTACAATTCACTCTTTCAAATTATTCTTTTTTTTCTTTTTTTTGTGTTTTTAAAGAGCCCTCTCACATGTGCAGCCATAAGTAGTTGCATTCATAAAACAACAAGATTGAAAGTATCATCAATGGCTGAATAAATATTTCATAAACCCTTGCACACAGCAGACAGTTATCGGATACCTACAGCAGTCTCCCTAAAAGCATTAAGGACCAGGAATGACTGAAACATCTTCCCTGTCTCTTCAGATCATGGAATTTTGCAGTATATGAAGGGGTTTTAGAGTGGAATATTTTGTGTGCATGCTCAATAAATTATGTTCAGAATGCATTGGGGATATTTAAACCAACAGTTACTAGCCTCAGCTAGTATATAGACTACATAAAGATATATATATTAATCCGAGGTATCTTTTCTCAGCCATATATCTTCTGCAGCGTATTAGCCTTTGGGTAGAATGCAAATGTTCTAAATATAATGTTGTTTACCCATCTTAATTTTGAAAGTGTGATCAGTATAACTTACAGTTGTTAGGAAAATATAATAGTCCAACTAGCTAATTTTCTTTCAAAAGGCTTCAGGCTCTAAACGTTAGTTATGTATGTTGATGTGGCAAAGATTTAAAAATTGTTAAAACTAAAAACACATCCATACAAATTGGTAAACTACTTTAAAGGGAGCTATAGTTATTGTTCTGGTGCAAATGCTGGCATTTTGTTGTAAATACTGTTTTTTTCAGAGAAAAGACAGTGTTTACATTACAGCCTAGGAACACCTCTTGTGACCACTCCTCAGATGGCCACTAGAAGTGCTTCCACAGTGTGCAGCACTGATGTTCAGTCATGAAGAACTGAACTTTTCCCATAGAGATGCATTGATTCAGTGCATCTCTGAGGAGATGCTGATTGGCCAGAGTGGTGCTTGGCTCTGCCCCCTACCCCGTTTCCTTGCCTGACATAATCAAAATTGACCATCTCAGCCAATCCAGTCCATTCTAATTATGTCAGCCAAGGAGGCCGATCGGGGGCAGAGCCAGCACCAGCAGGCTCATGGGCCGCTGGAAATATTGGTAGTTTTTACTATATTTAATAGTGTATGAGGGGGCAGGGTGCTAAATTGTGTTTTTAACAGTATAGGGTCAAGAACACATGTTTGTGTTCCTTTAATTAAATTGGCAACTGATCAGGGAATTAAGTTTTAGGCCAAAGAGCTGAGATCGTTTAACTATACCCCTGGTTAGTTCCTGTGGGAGATAACTAGGCTTCTTTCCACAGAAAACTATCCACATACTAAAGCAACATAACCCTTACACTTATTCTCTATTTAGATGTCTAGTATTCTTTCTGAAGTTAAGATTAGCATGACTGAACTCCCACCCTCTCCTAAATCTGATCTGTTATTTGAAAATATAAAAGTTTAAGTTCAATAGATCCTTATTATTATTATTATTATTATTATTACTATTATCGCCATTTATATAGCGCCAACAGATTCCGTAGCGTTTTACAATATTATGAGAGGGGGAATTTAACTATAAATAGGACAATTACAAGAAAACCTACAGGAACAATATTTTGAAGAGAACCCTGCTCAAACGAGCTTACAGTCTATAGGAGGTGGGGTATAAAACACATTAGGACAGCCTTAGGGTGGAATTCTGTATCAGTTCTAAGCCTTGTGTTTAAACTATATTTGCTTCATCTTGCTGTGTTCATGGTTTTTCCAATGCTGGGTTTTAATGCTTGCTTTATAGTATAATATGATCTGATCCCATATATCATTGCCTTTCAGCATCCCTTCCATTCATTATTATGACCCTGGTGAACTCTCCATACAAGAGGGGATTCTACTGCGATGATGAGTCTATTAGATACCCATATCGGGAGGATACTATTACTCATGGGCTGATGGCTGGAGTCACCATTTCTTGCACTGTTATAATAGTAAGTATTCGAACACTGACCGAGATTTGATTTTTGACTGTTTATAGAAGAAAGGTAAAGTCACAAAGGAATAGCAAAGTGACTGGATGAATCTGGAAGCTCATCTGTACACACGATGCATTATAACGGGTACTTATGTTAAGTGAAAAGAGATATTAGGTTAAACTTGATCTCTTCTTTCATTCTCCCTGCTTGTGGATGCTCCTCTGTGATGCCGACACACTGGCTTTGTTGCCAGTCACTCTGTTTCTATACTCCCTAGCCAGTGATAGCTTCTAGGAGGCTACCAAGGCCAATCACAGTGCATGTGCTGTGGTTGCTACATGTGGAGAGCAGAAGAACTACAAGAGACTCTCCATTCTAAAGTGAAACTACCTTTCTCAAGCCAGTTTAGTAAAAAGGCAGTCACTGATTGGCTGAGAACGGTCAGCTGACAATGTCAGCCAAACAGCAACTTCCCTGGCTGGCGGCACTCCGAGCTTGCTGAATTGGAAAATTCGGAAGTCTGATGCCATTTGCATGGGAATGGACATCTGCACTGGAGTGAACTTTGGGGTTTAACAGTTCAAGAACGTTTTAACTCCTTGAGTTAAGAGTGCCTACAGGGGCCTCCTGGTACCATAACTTCATTTAGATTAAGTTGTTGTGGTCCCTGGAGTTTTCCTTTAAACATAATTGTATGCCCTTTCAATGGTGTTCGGATGAGTTTTTACTTGCCTGAACCTGTCAATTGTGGCCACTGCCATAGCTTTACTGATGGTCCTTTTCAGATCCTGTCTTGACAAAGCCTTACAGTGGTAGCTTTGCATGTTTGTCAAGTATAGGAAGATAACACAAGACAATGTAGTCCCTACTCTGTTTTATGATCTCTTTTGACTGGGTTGGAATTTCAGAGAAAGATTTAATCTTTATTTTTTGCAGAGGTGGATTACAGAGCTGCTTTAATGTTCACTGATTTAGAACATTTAAAAAGCAATTTTATATGTTAGGTGTTTGATATGAAAGACACATGATGTTTCATATCAAATTGTCTAATATTTGTTCTCTTTTTATTTTGTTTGTAACTTATAGAAATATAGAAACATAGAATGGGACGGCAGATAAGAACCATTCGGCCCATCTAGTCTGCCAAATTTTCTAAATACTTTAATTAGTCGTGTTCTTATAGCCTTATGCCTATCCCACACATGCTTAAACTCCTTCACTTCTACCACTAAAGCTGGAAGGCTATTCCATGCATCCACTACCCTCTCAGTAAAGTAATACTTCCTGATATTATTTTTAAACCTTTTCCCCTCTAATTTAAGACTGTCCTCTTGTTGTGGTAGTTTTTCTTCTTTTAAATATAGTCACATCCTTTACTGTGTTGATTCCCTTTTAAGTATTTAAATGTTTCTATCATAGCCCCCCTGTTTCGTCTTTCCTCCAAGCTATACATGTTAAGATCCTTTAACTTTTCCTTGTAAGTTTTATCCTGTAGTCTATGAACCAGTTTAGTAGCCCTTCTCTGAACTCTCTCCAAAGTATCCCTCTGGCGATACGGTCTCCAGTACTGCGTACAATACACCAAGTGAGGTCTCACCAGTGTTCTGTACAAAGGCAAGTGCACTTCGCTCTTTCTACTGCTAATACCTCTCTCTATACAACCAAGCATTCTGCTAGTATTTCCTGCTGCTTATATTACATTGTCTGTCTACCTTTAAGTCATCTGAAATTATTACCCCTCAATCCCTTTCCTCAGATGTTGAGATTAGATCTCTATCAAATATTTTGTACTCTGCCTTTGTGTTTTTATGTCCAAGGTGCATTATCTTGCACTTATCCATATTAAATGTCAGTTTCCACAGCTCTGACCATTTTTCTAGTTTACCTAAATCATTTGCTATTTGGCTTATCCCTCCTGGAACATCAACCCTGTTACATATCTTAGTATCCTCAACAAAAATACATACCTTACCATCAAGACCTTCTACAATATCACTAAAAAAAAAATTAAAGAGAATGGGTCCAAGTACAGATCCCTGAGGTACTCCACTGGTAACCTGACCATGCTTTGAATATACTCCATTGACTACAACCCTCTGTTGCCTATCACTCAGCCACTGCCTTACCCATTCAACAGTATTGGAATGCAGACTTAAAGATTGCAGTTTATTGATAAGCCTTCTATGTGCAACAGTGTCCAAAGCCTTACTGAAATCTAGGTGCACCACCCTGATCTATTATTTTAGTTACTGAATAAAAAAAAAATCAATAAGATTAGTTTGGCATGATCTCCCTGAAGTAAACCCATGTTGTCTCTAATCTTGAAATCCATGTGATTTTTAGATGTTCAACTTCTTTTTGTAATTTTTTTCATTTTATTTTTATTTGAAATGTATGGATTGTGAAAATATGTAGCCTTGTGTTATTAAGCTCTGCTTTTGTAGAATAAAATTTCTGTAGTAAAAAAAGCATTTTTTTTTCCTAACCATTTTTCTAAATTGGTTAAAACTTGTTTTTTTTGTTTGTTTTTTAGAAAGAAAAATTGGGGGAGGGCGTAAATAAATCATATTATTAGAATCCATGCAGTTTAAGATATAAGCTGGGCATGTGTCTTTTTCTGTTTGTTTTTTGCAGATCACTTCTGGAGAAATGTACATGGTATTTTCCAAGAGACTATACTCCCGCTCTGAGTGTAATAACTATGTTGCTGCACTCTACAAGGTTGTTGGCACCTTTCTTTTTGGAGCCTCCGTAAGCCAATCTCTCACTGATCTTGCCAAGTACATGGTTGGTCGGCCAAGGCCCAACTTCCTGGCGGTCTGTAACCCAGAATGGACTTCTGTCAACTGCTCTGGATATGTGACTGACTTTGTCTGCCGTGGAAGCCCTGCCAACGTTACAGAGTCTAGGTGAGGATTGTGTCCAGGAAGTTAAGGAGTCCAGTTTATATTAAATATGGTAGACCTTCCCTTTTAAGTGCATCCACTTGCATGATTCTGTGTGAGTTCCATATCACCAGGTGCTGCTATTACTCTGAGTGGCTCCAGGCTTTTAAATGTGAAAGATCATTCTGTTTGAATTAAGATCTTACGTTTTATATTGCAGACTCTCCTTCTACTCTGGGCACTCATCATTTGGAATGTACTGCATGCTGTTTCTGTCTGTAAGTATTATTCTTCCCTTTCCAGTATTTACTTTGTACAAATTGACCTGTACCCTAACCTATACATTATTATTGATCCATGTGGGATCAACATTTTCTGTTCTGTAAAGCTGTAATTTTCAGCAACCAGGATTAACATAAACCTGTGATACCAGGTTAACGTTAAGTTCTAACACTTCCTAAACACTTCTATGTTTCTAAAGCAATGAATATATCTAATTATGCACATCTCACTGTACACCTCCAACATAATGCCATTCTCTATCCAACAAGAGACTCCATTGTAAAACCTCACCCCAGAGGGCTCTCCTTACATGCCTCTTCCCTTTGGAATAGGTTGTAGATATCATCCATAATGAACTGGATAGGGTTTTTTGTTTTTTTTGTCGTGCAGAACCCATATACAGGTGATACTCGAAAAATTTGAATATCGTTCAAAAGTTAATTTATTTCAGTAATGCAACGTACAAGGGGAAACTAAAATATGAGATAGACACATTACATGCAAAGCAAGATAGTTCAAGCCGTGATTTGTCATAAGTGCGATGATTATGGCTTACAGCTCATAAAACCCCCAAATCCACAATCTCGGTAAATTAGAATATTGTGAAAAGGTGCAATATTCTAGGCTCACAGTGTCCCACTCTAATCAGCTAAGAAAGCCATAACACCTGCAAAGGGTTCCTGAGCCTTTAAATAGTCTCTCAGTCTGGTTCAGTAGGAATCACAATCATGGGGAAGACTGCTGACCTGACAGTTGTGCAGAAAACCATAATTGACACCCTCCATAAGGAGGGAAAGCCTCAAAAGGTAATTTCGAAGGAAGTTGGATGTTATGTGGAAGGGAAAAGTGTGGAAGAAAAAGGTGCACAAGCAGCAGGGATGACCGCAGCCTGGAGAGAATTGTCAGGAAAAGGCCATTCAAAAGCCGCTCCTGAACAACAAACAACATCAGAAGCTTCTTACCTGGGCTAAAGAAAAACAGACCTGGTCTGTTGCTCAGTGGTCCAAAGTCCTCTTTTCTGATGAGAGCAACTTTTGCATCTCATTTGGAAACCAAGGACCCAGAGTCTGGAGGAAGAATGGAGAGGCAGACTCTGCAAAATGCTTGAAGTCCTGTGTGAAGTTTCCACAGTCTGTGTTGATTTGGGGAGCCATCTCATCTGCTGGTGTTGGTCCACTGTGCTTCATTAAGTCCAGGGTCAACGCAGCCGACAACCAGAAGATTTTGGAGCACTTCATGCTTCCTTCCACAGACGATATTTATGGGGATGCTGACTTCATTTTCCACCTGCCCACACTGCCAAAAACACCAAAGCCTGGTTCAATGACCGTGGGGTTACTGTGCTTGATTGGCCAGCAAACTCGCCTGACCTGAACCCCTTAGAGAATCTATGGGGCATTGCCAAGAGAAAGATGAGACATGAGACTGAACAATGCAGAAGAGTTGAAGGCCGCTATTGAAGCATACTGGTCTTCCATAACACCTCAGCAGTGCCACAGGATGATAGCTTCAATGCCACGCCACATTGAGGCAGTAATTGCTGCAAAAGGGGCCCAAACCAAGTATGGAGTGCATATGCATGCTTATACTTTTCAGAGGTCCGATATTGTTCTATGTACACTCCTTGTTTTATTGATTGCATGTAATATTCTAATTTACTGAGATTGTGGATTTGGGGTTTTCATGAGCTGTAAGCCATAATCATCACACTTGTGACAAATCACGGCTTGAAATATCTAGCTTTGCATGTAATGCGTCTATCTCATATATTAGTTTTCCCTTTTACGTTGCATTACTGAAATAAATTAACTTTTGCACGATATTCTATTTTTTCGAGTATCACCTGTAGGACTTTTTCATTGGTTTCCTGATTCATTTTTCTGACCACTCGAGATTGTTTGCAGAGACATGTTGCCAACATTTCTTATTGCTTTCTAAACTCTCAGCTATGGACCTCTGCTGACTCCAGTTGTCCATTGGCTAATAATATAAAACTTGACCTTTACCATACCCAATAAAAGGGTACTCACCAATGAAACTGCTAAACATTAAATACATAGTTACGTATTATTCGTCTAATTCTAGTTTCACAGTAATGTTTGTACATGTATGATTAAAAATGTAAAGAAAATGTGTTTAGTGGACGAAGCTGCATTTTAGCTACTGCTCCTTTTACTTTTGAGCACCTTTCATAATTATCAGTTTACTGCCATCTTTCCCGTTTCTTTTCCCTTCAAATGTGGTCAGTGCTTAATAACATAACATTATCTCCTTCCATAGCTGTATGTCCAGGCCCGGCTGTGTGGTAAATGGGCTCGCCTCCTCAGGCCCACAGTGCAGTTTTTCCTACTCTCCTTTGCACTCTATGTTGGGTACACCCGTGTGTCTGATTACAAGCACCATTGGAGCGATGTCCTTGTGGGACTTCTGCAAGGGGCACTAGTGGCTGCTCTTACTGTAAGTATGCCCTGAAAAGATATTATTTATATATATATATATATATATATATATTTATTTATTTTATTTATTTTTATTATAAATATTGTATGTATTCTATACATATGTATATTGCTGCCCCTTGGTTGTATATGGAGGTTTGTTATTGTAAATAAACACCATGAAACAGACTCCTCACTGCAGCCGATCCTCCCACAGTCCAATCAGGTGCTTCTCATAGAAAAGCATTGAAGAACACTCTGCACATGTGCCACAATCACCATGATTCTCTAAATGAAACTTTGAATCCATTGCTTCTCATAGAGCAGCAGTGGACACACAGTGTTTGGGGTTAGCATACTTTACACACTGACAACACATTTGTTGTCAAATAGATTGAATATTTATTCTTTTCCAGTTTTGATCCTCTGGTAATTGTCTTTATGACAGCCAGTAGTAGATGAGGAAACTGCAAAATGTAAACAGTGCCATTTCTCAGGCTGTCCCTTTAACCTTACCATACCCGGTTTTGTCACTCATATTTCTTCTGTCCCTCTGTGGCTTGTTTATGGTGAACACATTCTCTGACCACACACACATTCACTTGTGTTTGTTGGTCTTCACTGCCCTTATAAAAAGCTGACAAATCTACCATTTTTGTGTCCCTTTCATTGTGAAGGGCAGTACATGCAAGTTCGTCCCTTTAAAATGTAGAGTTTCTATTCATCAGTCAGTTGACAAACTAGTCCAGTGCCCTTTGCCTCTTGATATCCTCCTGCGATACGACATTTTATGTATAGGGCAGTGCTTCTCAGGAGGTGCGTGTACATGAAAATATCTGCTAACCTTAATCTTGTGCATATTGTGTATTGTGGTGTACTTACTTTCTTCCCAAACAGAGGAGACCGGCACCATTTTTGCATTCACCAAAACTTGTCCTCACGTTTTGTTTTGGTTTTCCCTCCTAGGTTCGATATGTCTCAGATTTTTTCAAGGTCAGACCACCGCAACAAACCAGCAAGGACCCTCTTGAGAGCAAACCAAGCCTCCAACTTTGTGAATCAGATCAAAATCACTTTGGATATCTGGGGGGATCCTGAGACACACGCATGCAGCACCTTACCTCCCTCTGAGCAATACTAACCATTTCCTAGGGATGCTCAAGCTCTAATGGACAATTCCTGTACACTAGCCAATCCAACAGGCTCATGGACTTAACGAGCAAATTCTACTGGTTGAAATTTGCTTGGATATTTCAAAATTTTGTGACTTTTTTTTTTTTTCCAGCACAAAAACCAAAGTAGTTTTATTTTTTTTATTTTTAGGATTTTTTTTATTATTGTCATACTGCAGATTGTGGTTGTGTGATTGTATGTGCATGTTTATTGGGGTTCTGCCCATTTAAGAGTGCAGATTGGTGAGTTCTTAGTTTGATATGTGCCAGCATGTGCTATTTTGACATTGTATGGTGTGTTAGCTGTGCATTGTTTGTATATATGAGAGTGATAGTTTGTGTCTGGGTCTCTGTGACCCTTGTGTCTTAGCTAGCCTGTGGTTGCTATTGTTTGAGTAAATGTGAAGGAGGAGGTAGCAATACCTACATGTTGTGTTTCCTTCCCTAATGGGTGCAGTTTGGCTCTCCATTTTCCTTTTACGTGAGTGTGTGAGAACGATGCAGCTCAATTGTGCGTCACAATGACTATCTCTGTGTGTTGGTGTCTCCCCAGATTATTTTAACCACTGCTCATCAGCACAAAGCTTCTAAAGGGTAATCAGAGATCCTTGAGAGCTTGGGAAAGTGCATTAATGGGAGAGGTCAAAGGATAAAGTTCCTTTAAGACACTCCTTGTACATAATATATATTCATTTATTGGGTTTTACTGTGTATTACACCCCGAGTCTGTGTGTTGGTTAAAAACGAGACAAAGTCCACAGTGTCCATTTGGCAATGATGGGGTAACTGCTTTAATCCATTAGCCCATTGTCTGTCTGCAACATTATCATTAAGCTTTTTTGGCTTATTTTTGTTCATTTTTTTTTTTTTTTTTTAATTTGCAATGCAGTTTCAAAAGCTAAATACCCTGTTATTTTTCACATGATACAAACTCCTTACTCCCACCCTGAATAGAACTTTCTGACGAACTTCTTTGAGCACTGGGATGTGTACATTTAATAATAAAATCCACTTTTACCTTCCTGCTTTCCCTACAAGATGCACACATTATGTAGTGCTACCTGCGTGAAGCAATTGGATAATGCTTTGCGACCCTGCAGACCCCCACTATCTCAAAAATAATCTTGTGCAGCACACACAGCCTCGGGGCATACTGACCAAATGCAATTTTTGTAATTAATGCTTTTTTAATTGTATAAAATAGAATAAAATGTTATAAAGCAGAGGGAGGACTAACCATGCCTCCAGATATCACATTCTCCTGGCCTGTGATTTGTTGGGCAGAGGGATTGGATAGTGGCTTAACTGATTTAGTAATGATGCATTAAGGTGGCATATTGTGTTGAGTTGCTCCCTTTGTCACAATTGTTTTATGTATTGTATGAAATAGTTTTTTTTTGTTTTGTTTTTTAAGACCCTTGTTTGGGAAATGTATTTAGCAGTGTATATAGTAAAGTGAGTATATGCACATTTGAAATTTTATATTGGAAAATTATATCTATTAAAACTATTGATCACGCAGCAGTTCTTGAGCATCCACTTTGGTCAGATGTGTAACACTGAAGAGGTTACAGTGTTGCAGTGTATTGTTAGCAATGTGCTTCAATCACCCCCTCCCTTGCAGGTAGAGACATTTCAATCTCATCTCGGCACTACTTTGCAGAGTTTAGCTGCCATGGGGAAGAACGACGGTCTCTGCTGTAGGAATGCTGCCCACCCTGAAACTCCAGTTCTTGTTGTAGCACATCCCCACTCTCTTACTATTACCTAAGGGCAGGAATGGCAATCCACCTGTTTTAAGCTAAATCTACATTCTTCTACAGTTCTCCTCTTCCTTTAATTTGACTTTGAATTACAATCTCATTTGAAGTCACTTATCCCACTGCTGTTATGAAGCAAATTTCAGTATGTGCACCCCTGTTTCTCTTTGCCAATGTATCCTCTTATATAACAATTTAACATTTTGAGTGCTGGGTACATGAGCATTTTAATACCATACATATGCTTCATTTATATTTAAATTAGCCTCTTACACCCCTATTATTTTGCACCTCATATTGCAATATTATGTTAATATTTTTTTTTTTTTTATTCTTTATCTTTGCTGTGCAGAAAAGTACAAAGATGCCTGCAATGCCACGACAGCATAAACAAGCACATTCATGTCCAACATAGTGTAACAAAGGCATGGCATTTCAGATATAAGCACAATTTTAAAGCATAATAATCAAGAAAACAAATGGGTTGTATCATTAAATTAAAATAAAAGAATAAGTAGCAAAAGACAGACAAACAGACATGAGATTATCAGGAGAATGAGAAACCACTGCTTCACACTTTACTATATAGATACTGAATGCAATTTTTTTGTTGTTCTTTAGTGAGAGTTTACTTTTTTTTATTCCATAAAAATTGCGCATATATTGCATGTTTTTTAATGTATTAAATAACATTCCATTATTTGCTATTCTCACATGGTAACTATAGTGTACAAACTTAATCTGCTACAGTGTTGTTTAGGCATCCAGCTCTAATTCTGAATTAGAATTTTAACTACAGTTTGGGATTGGCCTTTACAATTTCCTATTTATCCAGTTAGCTCATTCTAGAAAGGTAATGTTACTAAAGAAATGTGTGAGTGGAAGCTATTAATAAACCTATTCTTTGTAGTAAGGAGAGAAAGAGTTGTGGGGGTATTTTGTTTTAATCCCAATTGGGCAAGATAATTTTTCCTGCACAGGGTGGGACAGTCAGACATCCTGTGCAAGGAGCAGGAGAACCTGTCCCCCTCCCCTCTCTTGTGCCTCCCTTTTAAATTCTGTAGACGGGAAGAACTTGCTACCTGAGAGGATGTTACTCAGCCTGAAAGCATCCGTTTGCTGGCAGAGAGCCTGGGGAACAGGGAGAGGAGGAACAGACAGCTAATGGGAACGGAGAAAAGATGGAGTTGCAAAGAAACATTGAGAGCAGAATGAGTATTGGCAACATTGTGCAGAGTGTGGGGGATCAGGCTGAGGGGGGGAGTAAGTAAGCTAGGAACCTGCAAACAAAAAAATGTTCAGAGCATGGTGTACCAACATAGGGTTGGGGGGGGGTTTGTGTTTTGGGGGAAAAAGTTGAGTGGAATTTGGTGAGCTTTAAAGGACCACTCTACACCCAGACCACCTCAGCTTAATGAAGTGGTCTGGGTGCCAGGTCCCTCTAGGATTAACCCTTTTTTTTTTTTTATAAACATAGCAGTTTCAGAAAACTGCTATGTTTATAAATGGGTTAATCCAGCCTCTAAAGCCTCTAGTGGCTGTCTCATTGACAGCCACTAGAGGCGTTTGCGTGCTTCTCACTGTGAAAATCACAGTGAGAAGACGCCAGCATCCATAGGAAAGCATTTTAAATGCTTTTCTATGAGACTGGCTGAATGCACACGTAGCTCCTGCCGCGCATGCGCATTCAGCCGAAGAGGCGGAGAGGAGGAGGAGAGCTCTCCGCCGGCGATGGAAAAAAAAGTTAAGATTTAACCCTTTCCTCTCCCCAGAGCCCAGCGGGAGGGGGACCCTGAGGGTGGGGGCACCCTCAGGGCACTATAGTCCTGGCACTATAGTGGTCCTTTAAAGTGAAAGGCAGTGACAGGCTAAGTGCCCCAGAAAAGAGTAAGTAGAACAGCGGTTCAGTAATGGCCACAGTGCATTGCTTGGCACAGTCTTCATGTAGTGCTTGTCTTGTTTACCTATTGTACAGCGCTGTGTAATATGTTGGCACTTTATGCGTACTTGTAATTGGTATAGATACGAGAAGGTAACTAATGTGATCAGAATCAGTCTGTTAGTCCTGGAAGGGGAGCTGATGCATATTGTCTTTGAGACAAATAAAAAAAAAAAAGTGGCAAAAAAAACCACCTCACTCTAATGGGTGAGCATCAGAGAAGGAAATCCTTCTCCTACGATTCTATCTGCCAAAAAGAGTTAAAATCTGTAGGGACCTGGGTAGCGTTTTAGGTCCCCTGACATAATTTTTCAATTCATCCAGAAAGTTATAATTCTAATCATGTTCAGAAAATAAAAATGTTAAAGGGATAACTGAACAATGAATCTTTAGTGTGATTAAACATGTTGGGTTCAAATAGGCACATTTCTTTTTGCCTATACTTTAAATTTCCAATTTAGCACTAATCTCTATTAAAGGAACACTATAGTATTAGGAATACAAACCTGTATTACTAACACAATAGTGCTGAAAAAAATGTTTAGGTGACCGGCTCAACTGTCTGTGGAGTATAAAGTTATTTAACCCCTTAGTGGCCAGACCGTTTTTCAATTTTCTTACCATTAAGGACCAGGGCTATTTTTACAATTCTGCGGTGTTTGTGTTTAGCTGTAATTTTCCTCTTACTCATTTACTCTACCCACACATTATATACAGATTTTCTTGCCATTAAATGGTCTTTCTAAAGATACCATTATTTTCATCATATCATATAATTTGCTGTAAAAAATTGAGAAATAAAATGTAAAAAAAAAACCTTTTTCTATCTTTGACCCCCCGATTCTGTTGCGCATCTCAATCGCCAAAAAAACACCCGTGCTAAATAGTTTCTATGTGTGTGAGTATTCAGCAGTCTTTATGTATTCAGCAGACTGTGTGTGTGTATATATTAAGCAGTCGGTGTGTGAATGTGTTCAGCAGTATTGCATTTGTTGGAGATACTAATAAATATATGCTTAACTTTTATCTATTTATTTCATTATTTAAAATTTGTATCATTGAACTCTGTGTTCTTCTTTTAAAACAAATGTTAGTTCGGACAACTGTACAAGTTGTTTTTTCTAAACTTAAACCTCAGTATTCAGGTTTAATTGCCGTGTTGGCACATTGAGGAAAAAAAAGTTGGCATGTATTGCGGTTTGGGCACTCGGGCTCAAAAAGGTTCGCCATCACTGACCTAAGGTATTAAACTTGGGGTATTTTAACTCTCTTCATGCAATACCAATCTATGCCAAATTAAAAAAAAAATTAAAACAATAGTTTTTTCTGACACACATAGTAATTTAAGAATACATGCAAGGATGTATTTACCACAAGGCAAACAAGGCATTTGCCTAGGGCGGCACTTTTGGGGGGGCAGTGGAGAGGGGGGAGGGGCGCCAAAAATGCCACCCCAAGCTCCCAGACAAATGCTTTGTTTGCCTCGTGTTCTGGGGCTGTCCACCTTACTTTGAGTGAGTGTAGCTGGCAGTGTGTGCCTGTGAGTGTGTGTCAGTGTGTGTATGTCATTTTATGTGTATCTGAGAGCGTGTGCCTGTCAGTGAGTGTGTGTGTCTGTCAGTGAAAGTGTGTGTTGGTTAAACAGTGTGTGCCAATGACTGTATATAGCAGTGCATGTATCAATGAGGGCATGTGTCTGTTAGTCAAAAAAATTGCCTTGACACGAATTGGGGGGGGCACCTTTAGATTTTGGGGGTGCCTTAATTTAGCCATGCCTAGGGCAGCACAAATAAAAAAAAAAATACACCACTGAATACATGTACTGAGAACTTTAAGGGTTACTGCCAAAGAACACCCCAATATGTTTCAGCAATATCTCCTGAGTACAATGATACCACCCATTTATAGGTGTGTCGGGTTCTCTGGGGGCTAAAAAGGCCTTATTTGGAGGGTGCGCATTCCAGTTTTCCAACTTGGAATTTTCACAGCTGGTCATCATGCATCCATGTCCTATTTGGGACATTTATGAAGCTGGCCAATGTAATTTACCCCCATCAAACCATATATTTGTGAAAAGTAGACACCTTAGGGTATTTGTGTGTGATTGAGGGGAGCCTCTTGTTGGTTATTGCAAGAAAACACTCCAGGTTGTATTTTGCAAGGCCTCCTGAGTACACTCTTGCTCCAATGCATAGGTTGAACTTGATCATAAAAATAGTCTGGCACAGTAAAAGTAAAAAAAAAAAAAAAAAAGACTCAAGAATAGTAAACGTAACAAAAAAAAAAAAATGGCAAATGTAATAAAAAAAAAAAAAAACTTACCAGTGTGTGATTTCAATTGAAACAGCCCCCAACACAGGCCTTGATGTACACTAGCTTTCTTGTGCTCTCAGCTCTGCTACGTACAGAGATCTCCAAAGTCCTCTCAGTGTGGATGGTGGTAAGAAGGTACACATCCTTCTTGTCTCTGTACTTTACTGCCAATAGCTCCTCTTGGTGCAGAGCTGAGGTTTCCCCCCTTCGTAGTTGGGTGCATGCAAGTTGTCCTGGGAAACCTGCACGGTTCTTTCTGATTGTAACGCAAGCTACTGTATCAAAACAACAAAGTAGCTTGAACAAAGGAACACTTGTATAAAAATTGTCTATATACAAATGGTACCCTTTGTTTATCAGGCGGAATATCAGGTCCCAGACAATCTTGCCACTGGTTCCTATAATGTTCTGGGCAAGCTGGAGGGTCCAGGTGGCTATCCGTTCCCTCGTACACCCGGAAGGCCTGAGTATACCCAGTCTTGCTCTCACAGAGCTTATACACCTTTATACCATAACAGGAGCGCTTGGAAGGAATGTACTGCTTGAATCCCAGTCTTCCTTTCTACTTCATCAGGGATTCATCCATGCATATACTCCTTCCAGGTGTGTAAGCCTCTGCAAACCTGTCAGCGAAGTGGGTAATCAGGGGGTGGATTTTATACAGCCCGTCAAACTGGGGGTGCAGGCTGTTGTCATTGAAGTGCATGAAATGTAGAATCACTTGGAGTAAATGGGAGTAGAGCAGAAGGGACTACTGCTCCAGTAGGAGCGGATGGAGGGCTTCTTTATGATGCCCATCAGCATAGTTAATGACCAGAATTCTTTAATTTTTGGCACATCGATGGTGGCCCATTGCTGCTATGCAAAAAAAAGAGTCAGGCTTTGAAGCACGGAACTGATAGGCATATAAAAGTTTGGGCGATGGGTCTGACTGCCGACCAAGATGGCCGCGTAGTCAAAGAGCTCCAACACCTCTACGCTCAATCCGGTACATGCCAACAGCATCGAGACTCATAAAACAGCTGAATCCAGCACAAAATGCCAGGTACACACTCCGGAGCCAAGCCAACCAAAAAAAAGAAGGGAGATAGAAGAGAAGCCTCCATGTCTGTGGCTGAGATGCTTATTGTGCCATGAGGCACACAGGCCGCGCAAGATGGCCGCCAGCACGGCTCCCTCTCCCCGGCATCCACAACGGGCAGCAAACAGCCCGATTTTCAGCTGGGAGACACTCCACACATCCTAACAAAGCTGCTAGAGGTCCGCAACTACCTAGCCAGTGAACTCTCCAAAAGCACAAGGGAGGTAAAGGTCGAAATCCAGTCGCTGGGCACTCGGACGGCAGCCCTGGCAGACCAGATGGAGCAAGTAACCCAGGCCCACAACACCGTGGTGTCCCACTTCCGGACCATGGAGCAACAGATCACAGGCCTAGAGATGATGATAGAGGACCTGGCCAACCGCACCAGGTGAAATATGAGACTCTGAGGCTTCCCAGAAGCACCCAACTATTTTAAAAACCTCCTACCAGACATTCCGGAAGAAAAATGGGCGATAGACCAGGTGCTCCGAGCCTGCAGAATGGAAGGGATGGTGCTCAGAGATATCATCATCCGCTTCCACTATTACTCGACGAAGGAAGCAGTGATGAAGTACGCAAGACAAAATGACCTTACCTATCAGGATGCTGCCATCACCCTATACGAGGACCTGTCTCCTACCACCCTACAACGCCGACTGCGCTTCTCCAAGAATGGGAGATCCGGTACACCTGGGGGCACCCGTTTAAGCTGGTGGCATTCAAGTCAGGTGCAACGCACACACTACTACCAGGGACTAACTCACGGAAATTCCTCCGCAGTCTCCACTTGGAACCTCCGCCAGACTTCTCCTTGCCACGGGAGACCCTGCCCGAACTTCGCTCACTTCCTCATGACTGGACCTCCACTAACGACACAGTGGGCCACCACGCCTAAAGGCCCGGACGAAGTCTCACCTACCCACATGGAGTTTGGGACCAGCATACACTTGGACTTGTAGATAAGTACCTCACACAGACACTAGGGTTATCAATACAGCCAGAACCTGGGGAAATACTTGCTGGGGAGGGGATAGTCAGATCACTCGCAAGCTTCCCGACTGGGATACCATACCTCCCCCAAACGGATCCTGAAGGCGCTCACACCCCAGGAACGGGGAATGTATACCCCACTATGCCTTCTTTACACTCCGCGACCAACATGCCACCATGGAGCATTCTTGCACACCCTAGCCAGATAAGGGAACCGACCATTGTCACGGTACCTTATACCATGTTGCCCCAACCACACTCCCTAGGAGAGTCACATTGACCCCTGCGGCCTGTCATGTAGGACTAAATGCATAGTAACCGCCGCTCTCATTTAACGGGAGTGATACCCCAAAAGGCCAAATCGGGGGCACCAAACACGGGTGGTGATGGTGGGCTGATGCTAACTGGCTCCATGGCACTCTGGTATGTTACAGCGTTTGTTGGTGTTATCTCTCATTGCATTATTTCAGAACAGCCGGGACTCTATGAGGGCCAAGAGGCCACATAAGTACTTTACTGGTGGGATGTAGGTGATTTCTGCACATATTCACCTAACAGCCAGTGGCGGAACCAGAGCCTGATCTCGGGAGGGGCACTTGTAGATTATTTAAAGAAATAATCCATGCACAATAACCACTACAGCTCTCTGTAGTGGTTATGGTGCCGGGATCCTGGCACCTGTTTAAGAACAAGTTGACAACTTACCTGGGGTCTCCTGGGATATGGGGCTATAGTAGGAGCAGTGGTGCAATGTGGGGGTGGAGGGGCTGTAGTGTGTGAATGTGTAGGGTGTGTTTGGGAGGGCAGTGTGTGTATGGGGGGGGGAAATGTGTGTATGAGGGGCAGTGTGTGAGTGTGTGTGGGGTAATGTGTGAATGTGTATTATTTATTTATAAAATATTTTACCAGGAAAGATAAATTGAGATTTCTCTCGTTTTCAAGTATGTCCTGGGTTTTCAAGTACGTATGGGGGGCAGTGTGTGAACGTATGGTGTATGGGGGGCAGTGTGTGAATGTGTATGGTGTGTGTGTGGGGGGGTCCAGTGTGTGGGTTGTGGGAGGCTATAGGGCTAAGCAACCCAATAGGGAGGTCACATATATGTGGGCAATGGGTGAGAAGGGCACACGGTGTCCTCGCCTCCAGGTGTCAGAGCAAGGTGGTATGAGTACTACTTGTTGTGTCAAGGGGCCAACCACTACACCCCTCTCCCATTGCTCCCCCTGACTGGAGGTGAATCATTGTGCTTTTCCTTGGCAGAGTGGCGGGGGTGTTCACCTATCTGAAGCGGTGTAGGGCGGTTTTAGGGCAGCTGTGGTGTGTGACCTGGTGTTTCGGGGGACAGGCAGTCTCTTATAAAATGTGGGTAGTGTAATTCAAGCTGATGGGTATAGCGATCATTTTTTTGTTTTTGTTTTTTGCAGTGGGTGGAATGGATGGGGAAATTGCTGTTAGCCCTGGCAATTGCCCTCCCCCCCGCCACTCAGAGGCTCTCCCCTGCCGGCTAATGCAGGGCTGGCACTGTCCAAGCACCAGCCCTGCAATGGGCCTTCATGGACCAGAAGAGAGATCAGAGATCTCCCTCCCCGGTCCGCAGGCACCGTGCTGGCAGATGGCAGGGGAGGGAGGGAGAGAGGACCCGGGTGCTCAGCCTGCAACTCCTCCGGGTCTTTCTCTGGCAAGCACAGATTGTTGCCGTGGTTACCACGGCAACGCTCCGGATCTCGTGAGAGTGAACTCTAGCCCTGGAGCTGCCGGCTAGAGTTCACTCACCACTGCGACCACCAGGGATCGAGAGTTTATAAAATATATATATAAAAAGCCTCCCTACCTTCCTCACCACACA